GTCGGCTTCCCTTCGGATTATTCTCCAGTCTCACTGCCTGCGTTGCTACCGTTGTAACCGCGGGAGGATGTTGAGTATTGTGTTTAGTTTGGAAATATGAGATAGACTAGGATATGTCCCAGCTTGTCTTATACTCCAAGTTGTTCAAGTTGACCATGTACTCCTATATATATGCCCATGAGGCTCAAGCAACACAACAACGACTATTCCACCAATCCCTCTCTTCTTTCTAACACTTTCTTCTTTCTTCCCTCCAACTTTCTGCCACTCCTTCCCCTTCCATTTCGTTTTCATGTTCGAGCTTGTTCGTATTATCACCTTCCCAAGAAGATTGGAGGAGATCAAAAGTGATTTTGACCTGCAACAGATTTATATTAGTCCCCCTCAATCATCTTCAATCCCCATCAAACCCAACAAGCCCTTAAGGTGTTGACAAAAGAGCCAACCAAAGTCATTGGTTGTAAGGTTTTTGGCATGATCAGGATATTTTTAAACCCATAGCCGAAGGTGGTAGTTGTCTTATTGTTAATGTTCATCGGTCGTTATGGTGTGATGTTGGTACTCCTATCTCTCTTTTGTTGTAAGAAAATGTAATGTAATTAATTATGGCCTTTTTTATTTTTCCCCTCAGAAATAATCAAGACATAATTATTGCGAAAGACTAGGGATGAATGTGGCACATACTGCGAGTAGTAATAATGATTTTTTAGACGACGTAATAAAAATGAATTTAGGGTGTAACAAATGTCCAATTAACCCCATTAAAGGCCATGATCCATTTCGTTTCACACAGTTAGGAAAAAAGGTTATTCATCCCCAACAATGTGGTTTTGGCTACTATTCATGGTTAAATTTGTCATTTTTCTTCGGAAATGATAAATCGCGAATGTTCGGATTTTAAGCATGGCAGCTCGAATGTTTTTCATGGAAACTTTAGTTCACGCCTAAACCTGATCATTGGTCGGGCCGGGCTTGGGACAAAAACGAATTTAAGCCGGGCTTGGGCCGGGCTTAAATGTTTGGATTTTAAACATTGCAATTTTCTGACAAAAACGAATTGGGACAAAGATGCCATGTCTTAATAACTAAAGTTGCCACCTCGCGTCAACTAAAATTGTCGTGAAAAAACGTTCCGGATGAAATGCTTAAAATCCGAACGTTCGAAATTTATCGCGGTCCATTTTTTTCATGACATGTGGATCACATTTGTGTTTGAAATTCGGTGCCACGGTAGACACACATTCAGTCAACGTCGCGTGCAGAATTTTGTACGAATATTGGAGGGATATTATAAATCCATTTGCCGGCAACCGCAATCCAGAATCGGCCGCAGGATATGTACGAATTCCGACGAAAATTGACAGCTACCAGAAGAAAATACCACGGAAAGAATGTCAACTTTGGGCGAAATTTAAGCATCGAAATTAGGGAAGTGGAGCAGCACAACTGGCGGTCGACAGCGAGGCGCCGACGACGACTCCCAGGTTGAAATCCCATTGAATTTCAGGGGCGGAGGGAGAGGAATAAAAACGAGGAGAGCCGGGCCGACCGACAGGTGGCGAGATTCCCCGAAGCCGTCCGTACACTCGCAGCAGATCGGCCGGCGCGATGGAGGTGGCGTCGCTGTACCGGCGGGTGCTGCCGTCGCCGCCGGCGGTGGAGTTCGCGTCGGCGGAGGGGAAGCGGCTGTTCGCGGAGGCGCTGCAGGGCGGCACCATGGAGGGCTTCTTCAACCTCATCTCCTACTTCCAGACGCAGTCGGAGCCGGCCTTCTGCGGCCTCGCCTCCCTCTCCGTCGTGCTCAACGCGCTGGCCATCGACCCCGGCCGGCCGTGGAAGGGGCCCTGGCGCTGGTTCGACGAGTCCATGCTCGACTGCTGCGAGCCCCTCCACAAGGTCAAGGCCGAGGGCATCACCTTCGGCAAGGTCGTCTGCCTCGCGCACTGCGCCGGCGCCCGGGTCCAGTCCTTCCGCGCCGACCAGACCACCATCCACGACTTCCGCGCCCACCTCACGCGCTGCGCCTCCTCCCAGGACTGCCACCTCATCTCCTCCTACCACAGGAGCCCCTTCAAGCAGGTTGGTACACCCTCTCTCTGTTCCTCAATTCCCCAAAATTCCCCCCTGCTACTGGATCACACACAATGTCTGATGCGGCGTGCGGGGGTGCTGCAGACTGGGACTGGCCATTTCTCACCGATCGGCGGGTATCACGCCGAAAAGGACATGGCGCTCATCTTGGATGTCGCGCGCTTCAAATACCCTCCTCATTGGGTTCCATTGACGCTTCTCTGGGATGCCATGAACACGACTGATGAAGCAACAGGGCTTCTCAGGGGGTACCTTCTATTACCCATCTCTCTGTCTCTTATTATCACAGTTTCCTTGGTCAACATTGTACTCCTGTATAAGATGCTGTTGGAATGTAGTTCAGTTCGCTGTCCTGTTACCTTGTAGTCAAACAGGAGATTTGGGATTAAGCAGCTGCATTTAGGCTACACTACTGTTCATTGATTATCTGGATACACGCTGCTGCTTTGATCTTGTATTGACATGCGGTTTACTAATAGTTCTAAAATTAATATTTGGTTTAAGAAAACCTGCTCTGTATGGTTGGTATTTTTATGTACTTTGGTATCATAGATAGTAAAATTTGCAACGTGCCCTATGGGCTGCAGTTTCATTTTTATTAGGTTCTTGAGCCATGTTATTGCAGGGAGCATCTTGATTTCTTCAGTTGCAATTGTTTAGTTCATTTCCTTTTTGCCTTCTTGATTAGCTCGACATGCTTCATTGGGAAAGACTGGGTGTTTGCTCTAACTCAATGCTACTTGAGGTGCCTGATTATTTTGGTTCTGATGTAATGCTACTCCAGTTGTAGTTTAGTACTCCCTCCGTTCCTAAATATAAGTCTTTTTTAGAGATTTCAACATGGACTACATACGGATGTATATAGACATAGTTTAGAGTGTAGATTCGCTCATTTTGCTTCGTATGTAGTCCATATTGGAATCTCTAAAAAGACATATATTTAGGAACGGAGGGAGTAGTTCTTACAACTAGCTGGCTAGCTGCATTATATCATGTGTCTGTGTAGAGTCGTAGACCTTGACATCACATTACACATGTTTTATCTCCTGTACATTCAGATCTTTCCAGGTAACCGACTGTAGACCTGCCTGTTCATTTAGAGAAAACATAGACTGCAAAATTGAACTGTTGTTCTAGTTCTTCCTATGGAAATTCAAAAATAGGTTATGAAACTGCAGTGTTGCATGCCACCTTATGATGGTGTTGTCTTTATTTGATAGGTTCATGCTTGTATCAAGGCGCAGTTCAGCTCCTTCATTGCTCTACACAGTGGTAACATGCCATTGCTATGCTGTATCAAATGCAAATTGACATCTTCGATTCTCCTTTTCTCATTGCTTCCAATTTTTTGAAGAGTTGCGGCCATGGAAGTTGGAAAAGCATGGCAAAGTATTGTGTGGAAGATGTACCCAATCTACTGAAGGATGAGAATCTAGACAATGTTACAACACTTCTGTCCCGCCTAGTGGAATCTCTCCCAGCTAATGCTGGAGATTTGATCAAATGTGTCATTGAAGTTAGGAGAAAAGAGGAAGGTGAATCAAGCTTGAGCAAAGAGGAGAAAGAAAGGCTTTTTTTGAAGGTCAGTTTCCTTTTGCTTTGCTGATGCTGATTTACCGTTACTGTTTCTCCCTTGCATAACACACCATATACTCTGTTAATTTTCAGGAAAAAGTATTACAGCAAATCCGTGATACTGATCTTTTCAGAGTAGTCCACGAACTGCAATATCCCAAGGGGCTATGTGGTAGTTGCTCATCTTCAAGTGATGAAGATTCGCTTGCCGAGATTGCAGCCACTGTGTGCTGCCAAGGAGCTGCATTCCTATCTGGTAACCTTGTATCTAGAGATGGGTTCTGCTGCCGAGAAACATGTATCAAATGTATAGAAGCAAATGGTGATGGACTAAAGACTGTTATCTCAGGAACCGTGGTATCTAAAGGGAATGAACAGGGTGTTGATTTGCTTTTACCAACATCCTCATCAAAAACAAGCTTATGCAATTCAAACTTGAGGAGCAAGATTGTCAAGTATCCATCAAGCACAGATGTTCTAACTGTCCTACTGCTGGTTTTACAGCCTAACACATGGCTTGGCATAAAAGATGAGAACGTGAAAGCTGAATTTCAGAGTCTTGTTTCAACAGACAATCTTCCTGATCTTCTTAAACAGGAGGTGCGTTGATTCAGCCCAAGTATCTCACGTTTCTATTTACCTTGCTCCTTAGCAACATGTTTTAAATTTATTTTCTCTAATGCAAATTATATCAAGCTTTGTGCTAAATGAATCAGTAATTCAGTATCCTATTAATACTCAGTAGGAAACCTGAGATAGGTATCCGAAACCAGCACCATTAACGACAGACAAATAGAAAGCGCAACTGAATCTTTTTTATCCTCTTTACACTAACGAAGTTAATCTTATGTACTTCCTGTATTGAGTGTGGTAGTCTGGGACTCTGTGATATATTGCAAGTTTTGACTTTCTGTTGTATTTGGGGTGTCTTAGGCAGTGGTAATCTGCTACATGAGTCCATGAATTGCCCACAGCTTGCATAGCCTATTCTAACTTCTTTTGGTTTTCCTGAAATGAATTTGGTTCTGGGTGCATCTTTTTTATGTCTTTTTATTTAAATTTATCTTGCCACATTGCGCTTTGAGCCGGCTAACTCCTACAGATGCAGACATTGGTCTACATGCCATCATATAAGATGGATATTCTAAGTTATAGCAAGTTTTCATATGAATTCAGGAGCTGAGTTGTGTATCAAACTGTTACGGGCACATATGTGAGTAAGAAACGTAAGCGAATAGGTGAAAATGAGATTAAGGGTAAGGATACAAAAAACGGATCTACTATTGCAGCAAGCCAGTACTCGGAACCACGTGGTTATCAGCCGGTTACTGTCTTACTGGTCTTTATGTATTTTCGTCCTCAATGTCTGTGCTCCTTTGGTGACTCATGAGCATTTACGACAAGGTTTTCATTTAATTTGGTGTTAGAACACCTCTTTCCAGATGGGTATCTACTTTACCAGCCCAGCTCATGCTGTCAATTTTCCTGACTGCTCTCTCTCTCTCTCTCTCTCTCTCTCTCTCTGACAGCAGACTGCTACTTTTAATCATCATTGTACCCACATGTTTTTCTTCCTGAATAAGCCTAAATTCCATGGGACAGTCCCATTCGTATTCCCATGAGAGGAAACAATAGTTAGTTTATTCCTAAATGAACTCCCAAAGCCTATTATGTACTCCCTCCGTTCCCAAATATAAGTCTTTTTTAGAGATTCCAACAAGTGACTACATACGGAGCAAAATGAGTGAATCTACACTCTAAAATATGTCTACATACATCCGTATGTTGTAGTCCATTTGAAATGTCTAAAAAGACTTACATTTAGGAACGGAGGGAGTATGAAGTATTATATGTACTGTAACTGGATTCTGTTTCTTGTTAACAGATACTGCATCTAAGGCGGCAGCTCCATTATTTGGCTGGTTGTAAAGGACAGGAGGCATGTCAAGAGCCTCCATCCCCTTAGTGACGCTGCTGCGATAATCTGCTCACTTGATTAGGAGATAAGGCCCTTGGAGATCCCACGAGCATACTATCGAGGCAAAAATATATGATTCAATAAACAGACTTACTTCGTGAGGTAGGAGGACATACTAAGGATCAAGTAATAGGATTTTGAGAGAGTATTGGAGCCAAGATAGCTGGTAACATCCTGGTTACCGGTCTCTTTTGGTTCACTATATATGTAAATTCTTTTGTGTTTATATAATTTTCTTCGACTATGTACCCATTCGGTTCCATTAACCATGAACACCAAGATTTCACTGAACTAGTAAAACACCTGTCAGCCAACGTGGAGACACGGAATAACCTGCTTCTGTGTGGAACTGATAGATTCACAGGAGCAAAATTATACAGATGCCAGATCGCAATGAAATTTAAATTGGTATTCACAACAGATATGCTACTTGGTATCCAATTGTCAGACTAAGCCTGCATGAATAATAGCCGGCCACCTGACAGTGAGTGTTGGTAAAAATGCTACTCCCTCTGTTTTTGTATACAAGGTCACTTCTTGTTTTTTTTGTCAAACTTTGACTTGTAATTTTGGTGTTCATAATATGGGTTATATACTTATATGTCATCAAAAAATATATCAGCAGAAAGTTCTTTGAAATGTGCATCCAATGACATATTTTTTGTGGCACATAGCTCACATTTTGTTGGTAAATTAATAATCAAAATTAAGCATAAATATATGACGTGGTCTTGTATACAAAAACGGAGCGAGTACTGAAATTTGTAGCTACTCAATCCCGACTACTTGGAGTGCAAGCCGCTTGTTCCTCTGCGCTGACCTGTAGCGACAGTAGCTCAGCATTTGATATGTTTCGTGTCTACTATCGAAAGAGACGGCCTTTCCCTTTTCAGAAGCTTGTTTCGCATATAAAAGTGTTTAAGAAGCAACCGCTATAAACAGAACTTGGCGGCTCTAATCCTTGTGATAAGAAATGTTGGAGTGCAGCTATTGCTGACTGATGTGGCAAAAAGGACTTGTTGACCAAGGCAGAGAAATCGGGGAACTGCTGCCTTGTGGAAGGGGGTGTCAAGATCAAACGACTTGTTTTACTTGCTTCCCAAGAAGTTGTTTTTTTTTTCGGGAAAAAACCTCCGATCCATTCATCTACTGTTAAGGTAGTAGAAAGACATTCGAAGTAAAACTCATATTCAGGTCCTTAGAACACCTAGCGATGACTATAAGCATAGGAGTGAGTTGAAGACACACCGCCGTTATCACCCATCACCGAAGCCGGCAAACCTTCTTGTAAACAGTCAGAAAATTATCGTGCTAAGACCCCAGAGGACCAACACACTAGTACAACAAGCGGCGATGATGAAGAAAAGCGTATATTGAAAAAAATTCAACCTGTGAAACGCGCGAGCGGAGCAACCAGATGTCTCCTCCGCCCTCTCCTCCCCTTCCGGCGTCCGCTCCCTTGCCCGCGGCGCTGCACGCCCCCCTGCCCGCGGCCTCCGCTCCCCTCCCGCTGCGGTACGTCGACCTGGCTCATGCGTCCCTGTGCCTCTTCCTGGCCTGGGGGAGGAGGTCTGTCTCCCCCACCTCCCTCGTCTACCTGCCTCCTGCTTCGAACCTTCAGACCACCTTCTCTGTCTAGCTGTCTCCTCCTCTAAGCTTTGGTTCGATGAACTGCTCGCTGGAGCCCTTCTTCAAGCCTTCATTGGAGGGGTTGCGCGCTGCTTCAACGCTCGCCTCCTCCACGACCAGACCTTCCTCTTCTCAGTCCCGCAGGCCGGTTTCGCGGCAAATCTCCTTTGTTTCCGTCCTGTCCACCACCGTCTTTTCTCATTCCGTTTCCTTCCGGCCACCTCGCCTTTGTCACCCTCAACATCTTTGCCAGCTGCTCCTTCCTGCAGATCCCTCTCTGATCTGCTCCTCCTGAACTTTGCGGCTGGCCTCAAGTTTGAAAATGTCGCCTGGCTTCGCCTCAAGTCCTTTGTTACCGTCCCCTCGGCCCCCGCGGCACCAGCCTGCCGGCTTCTAATCAGCTTCATCCAATTCCCCCTCCCTCTCTCGCATGTTCTTTGTAATCGCATCCTCCACTGCATGTTTGGCGGGGATCCTCGGCAGTTCCACTCCGCCCCCATTGCGGTCGATGATTTCTCCTTCTCGGTTGCCAACCGGGGGGTGGGCGATCTTCTCATCTCGTTCGGAGACTTCCGAAGACCTGGAATGGACATTCGCTTCTCGATGCCCTTGGCTCCCTACGCCCCAGCATGCGGCGCTCCCTCGGTGTCCCTGTCGGGCATGGCGATCCGGCTGCATCGAGTGACGACTGACTCGTCTCGGCCATCGGTTAAGGTTCGTCAATTACGATTCGGGTTTAAGTTTCGTTCCCATATCCTGCGTAGTTTTAAGTTACCTGTGGTCCCTCCACCATACACCACTCCAGATCCTAATATTCATGCTATCCTCTGGATAAGTTTTTTTTTTCAGCAGTAGCAAAACCAAGTGCATGCATTGTTAAATCGGCCCTGGATCACTTCTTCTCGGGTAGTGCTAGCTTTGTCGTCCTTCGCTTCCAGGCTAATATCTTCCTCGCGCTTGTTTCCTTTGTGGACATTTTGAATGAAATCACTCAACGGTCGCCTGTCTCTCCCCCTGGCATTACGCTAGTTCTCACCCCCTCCTTTTCCGATGCACAGTCGGCCTTGGCCACGTCTTCGGGCCCACCCCTTCGACCAACCTTGGTTGCCAAGGAAACGGGCGCCCCCGCCACGCCCGCGACATGTGACGTCCGTTCCCGTTCGATCCTGGGCTGCGCGCCCCTGTTGCCTCCCCCTCCTCTTGCCCTGCAGCTACTCCGTTTGTTTAACCAAGCCCAGGACAGCGCTGTCGCTGTGACAGTGGCTACGCCGGGCACACGCGAGATGGCGCGCACCGCTGCCATGACATGTCCCCTCCCCAGCTCGAACCCTCACGTCCTAGCCCCTCCACCGCCGCTCGCCACTCCCTCCAACGCCGCATGCTTGCGTGCACCACCCCCCACCGTACCACCTCTCCATCAGCATTTAATGCAAACCTAACTCCCTCCCAGGCCTGCATGCACCCGGTGCATGAGCTTGCCCTCCCTGTTTCCACGTCCCCGGCCTTGGTCCACCAGAACCCTTGCTTCCCGACTAGTACGCCCTACAAAACCCCTACCCCCAAGGCACTCGAGAGTTCGCCGCTCCCCGCTTTCTCGCCGTCCTTGGCCTATGAGCTCAGTCCCATCGCCGCGGCGCCTGCCCCTGTGCCCTCCTATCGTGACGTTCTGCTCTCCCCGCCGTGGATGCCGCTCCTCGATCCTTGTGCCGCGCCCCGGCGCTCCTCTCGATGCCCCTCCCCCGCCCTACTTCAACGCACCCCGTTTGCCCCTTGCCAGTCCATCACCTCTCGCCCTCTCTGCTTCCGATGCTTAGCCGCTGACCACCTAGTCCGAGCCTGTAGAGATCCGGTCCGCTGCTCTCGCTGCGGCGGCTCCGGCCATCGTAGCTTTGCCTGTACCTCCAACCTCCCCCTCGCCCTCCAGCGCCTCCGCCTCCTTTTCCACCCACCCGCAATGGCTGCCCCCCACCCCCACTCGCTCGCTCCTGCCCCTGAGGGCCCTGCCAGAACTCTCCAGACCGGCTCCATCCGCCTCACCGTCCTCGACGGCCACCACCCTCTCTGCGAGACCCGCTCTGACTCCTCGGACGGCGACTCGGCGCCCCTGTCTCAGCGGGAGGAGGCCTCTGACGCAGCCTCCGTCGTCCATGGGCCGCTGCGCCCCCGCTCTCCTTTGTCATCCTCGGCGTCCTCGCATGGCCGTGCCCACTCCACTTACCCAGACATCTTCGTCCCGTCTGGGCTCATCCATGACGTCAGCCGTTTCTGCTTCGTGCACCTTGACGCTGTCATGGCCGAGCCCTTCGACTTCATCCACCAAGCCATCGAACACCATGCTGATAATCCCTCCTTCCACTTTGCTACCACGACGGGCTGTGCGGCGCTCATCGTCTTCGATTGCACCGAAGACCGTGAGGCGGCCATGGCCTTCTTCCCCGCCAAGTTCCTCGGCGTCACCATCACTCTCCTCCGCCCTGAAGAAACTGACAACTGCGCCACCACTCGATATGACCGGCTGGTCGAGATCGAGGACAAGAACTTCCCTCTTGAACTGCACCCTCAGGGGCGAACTTTCTCTTCGGCCACTTTGGCGTGCTCTGTTGCGTCGACCAAAACTCTCTCAGTGCCGGTGACTTCACGGCGGTGCGTGCGTTCATTCGTGTCGAGAGCGACAATGACACTCCTGATGGATGCAGCCTCCACCTCCCCCCTGGCCAGATCGTCGATGTCAAGCTGCGCCGTATCAAGACCTGGGCCATCTTTGAGGACATCTCCGTCCCTCTAGATGATGGCCTAGGGATGGCAACCAAGGTGGCCCTCATGTCCATGGAGCGTGGAGGTGGACCTGTGGTCGCATCGCTCCCTGCCCCAGGTCGCACTCCGTGGACGTCATGCCACCTCCCCCCACTGCTGCTCCGCCCGCCACGTCTCCTTCGAACCGTGGAGCTGATTTCCTGCACCCTCTCGTCGGTGGACCGCTGTTTCCTGCGGCTCGGACCGTCGACAACTCTGCCTCGGAGGACCAGCCTCTTGATCACCCCGACTCCGACTTGCCTGTCGTTTCGGAGGAGATCTCGGCGGCCTCTCCGTCGGTGGGGGTGACCAACTCCTTCTCCTCCCTCGTGTTGCTCGATGATAACCTCAACTCCTACTCCTCCCCCGGTAAGGCCCAATCCCCTGTCCCCTCCATTTCCTCTGCCGCTCATGCTTTGGTCTCTAACCCTCTCCTCGCGTCGCCCCTGGTTGTCGCAACCTCCCTCACCTGCCTGGGCCACGAAGCCACTCTCCAGCGTGCGCGTGGTGCTGAGAAGAGGGCCACTGACGCTGCCAAGGTCCGTAGAAGCCGCCACCTTGCAGAA